TTGAATTTCATTCATCTTTTTTATTAGGCAACTTTACTAAACGCTTGCTGTGAAACAGTTTTAATTTATTCCCTTTGGATGTAAAATCATATAGTTTGCAAGTGATCATTTTATTTCCTTTTCTTCCATATCACTGCCTGTTATTTCTATTTAACGTCTTAGTGTCAATCTTCTAGCAACATTCTTGGTGATGGGAGGGTTTATTACTGAGCTGTAGGACCCCTGCCCTGGGACGGCGGGAGGAGGGCTGTGCGGGCGGGTCTGGAGGCGCCCGGGGGTCTGTCTGCCACGCTTTGCTGCGCAGCTTCACCCGCTCACGGTGGATGAGGACCGTGATGGCTGCCCCTAGCCCCTGGGACCAGCCGGGTGGGGAAAGGGCCCCTGCACAAAGCGCTGAGGCCCTCCTCCTCAGGGCCTGCCGGACAGCCCACGTGTTCCGTATTGGACCCCATCCGGTCCCGACCACGTGCAGGCTGATGCCTGCACCAGCTGCGCCCTGGGTAGTGAACGCACCGTGATCCGCGGTGGCGGCGGCCAGGTGGCCGGTCCACTCGGCCCCAGCCATCCAGGGAGGTCAGACAGAGAACGGAGGCCTCGGACATCCCCTGCAGCCCTGTAGGAGCAGCCTCGCTCAGTGCTCTGAGCTGGGAGGTCCGGTGGGGGGTGAGTCTCACCTTGAGGGTCTCCTTGGGGCGCGCAGGCACCTGGGCTGCGGGCCATGCACGCGCCCACCCGCCCAGCAGCTCCTGGACGTGTTGCTGCTGGAAACCTGACGGCCACCTGGGGGCAGAGCAGAGGGGCCGGGTGCTGAGGCCTCGCCCAGGCCCGGGGACCCCGGGGACCCCAGGTACGGAAGGTGGTGCCCATTGCACAGCCGCCCCAGGACCCTGGGGGGCCGCCCGGTGCCCCATTCCTCCGGTCCTGGGGGGTGGGGGGGAGACGCCGACCACAGGGCGGGCCCCCACCCACCTGCAAGTCGCTCCCTCTCCCTCCTGCAGGTTCACTGCACTGTCGGAGGGGACGATGGAGGCATGCTGCCCTGTTAACACTGAGAATGTCGGTATCCGAGAACCAGGACATTGTCTCACATAACATGGCAGGACATTAGGAAGCTCAGGAAACGCCATGCTCCATGCAGTATTGCCTCTAATCCACAGCCCACGCTCAGGGCCGGTCTGTTTCCCGGAAGTATTCGAGTTTTGTCTTTTGTCCCATGTCCTCCTGGCTTAATGACGCTCAGTGCTGGGTCATGGCTTGTTGCTGTCTCTTCAGTCTCCCGGAACATTTCTTTAGCTTGTTTGTTCGTTTGTTTCCTGATTTTGATTTTTGGGGGTAGAAGTTAGGGAGAGCTAGAGGTTGGTTAGTTTGCACAAAATTCCTCAATTTAATTTTGTCTGGTTTCCCTCATAATCAGATTCAGGTAATATGATTTTGTTGCTGTTGTTTTTTTCCCCTCCTCCTCCTCCTCCTCCTTCTCCTCCTCCTCCTCCTCCTCCTCCTCCTCCTCCTCTTCTTCTTGTTTTTCTTGTTGTTGTTGTTGTTGTTGTTGTTCTTCTTCTTCTTCTTCTTCTTCTTCTTCTTCTTCTTCTTCTTCTTCTTCTTCTTCTTCTTCTTGTTCTTCTTCTTCTACTTTGTTTTTATTAATCCTCTCCTGAGGATTTCCCCCCCCCCTTTTTTTTTTTTTTTTTTTTTTTTTACGAACAGTGGGAGGAAGGGAAGGGGAGAGGGAGGGAGGGAGAGAGAGCGAGAGCGAGAGAGAGAGAGAGAGAAACATGTGAGAGAGAAACATGGATCGCTTGCATTCCACACCCCACACACCCCCTGGGGTCAAGGATAGAAGCGACCCTTGGGTGCGGGGCTCTAACCACTGAACCACTCGGGCCAGGTACTGTTCTTTTGATAGGAATACCGCAGAAGTAAGTGATGTTGTGTCCTCCCAGCATCTTACCAGAAGGCAGCTGGAGTCAACTTGTGCTGTTATGGGTAACGTTGAGGTGGTTATCCTCCGTGTTTCTCCACTTGAAGCTATTATTCTGATTTGGAAATTAATAAGAGTTTGGGGTGAGATACCTTGTCACCATGGAAATATCGTGTTTCTCACTCAGCTTTTACCTATGATAACTGTGATACTTAAATTTACCTACTATAACTTTTTACCTATGATAAGCTAGTACTACAACCACCTTTAACCTCGACTGATGCTTTTCTATACCAATTTCTATATTCTTTGGCATCCTACTGTAAGGAAGAACCTTCCTTTTCCCTTCCCTCCTTCCAAGAACTCATGCGTTCTTATTGTATTTAAAGGATTGTAATCCTCTCTTACCATTATTGATTTTGATACTCAAAGTAATCAGTCCCAGATTTGGCCAATGAGAGCATATTGGATAAAATTTCTGGTTACTTGTAGGGGCAAGTAGAGTAAAGGATAAATTTTCTTCCTGTGATCTCTGAAAACTAGGGAGTCATTTTCAAAAATGAAACAATATATATCTCAGAATTCTAGGGATTTCTATTCTCTATATACTGTTAAATATTCTACAGTGCAATCATTGAAGGAAAAAAAATCTTGATAGAGCTGGGATGGACAGGAAGGAAATAAGACTATTTTTATGTATACTCAAATTCTTTTGGGGTAACTCATTCCCACTCCGTCTCAACTTTTAAAAGTTCAATATAATTGGATCTTTGGGACATTATCCCTGAAGGATCTGAAGTTTCAAACTGTTGTAATACATGGCTGCTAAACTTTAAATTGTTCGGGGACAGTCGGTATTCCCCAAAACAACAGAGGATTTAAATGTACACAGTATTTCAGTTGCTATCCTTTGGTATTTTTAGTGAGAGAGGCAACAGTCAATACTTTGGAAAGAAACAAATTGCACTGTTGATTTTTACATAAGATGTTTAACATTTCTAACGTGGATGCATTTATTCTTTCTTGCACTTAGCTAACTATGAAGTGCATCTTAAAACAAGAGTTGGAGTTGGTGACAGGGAATTTATGTCAGAGGACCAATTTTTCTTGGCTTCTATTTTTAAACAATAGAAAAGATCAAGTCCCAGACTACTGGGCTGATTTTTCATTCTAAAAAAAATAAATAAATAGTGTTTTATTTTTTAAAATCCTCACCCAAGGATATGTTTTTATTGATTTTTAGAGAGAGCAAAAGGAAGAAGGAGAAAGAGGGAGTCTTGCCTCCCATACACATCCAGCCGGGGATTGAACCTACACCTTTTGGTGTATGGGACCATGCTTCCTAACTGAGCCACCTGGCCAGTGCCAATTGTGTTTCCTCCGCTGGTTTTAAGAGCAACACCAATTTTTTTTAAGGTTTCTTTAAAATAATCTCTTACAATAATATAATAAGATTTTTATAGAGAATTTGTTAAGTAGAAAATTTGGCAGAGACATCCCTAAAAATAATCTAACAAATGAATAAGAAGTAACTACTGTGATGTAGAAAAATGAAACTTTTAGGAAAAAAAGCAAACACTCTGCTGCCCAAGTACCACAGAGGGAGCTAACACAGACAAGTATTCCCTGGACCACTAACCAAGGTACCAGTGTTACTGATGGTGTGTGGACCTTCAATGTCAGCTGCTTAGGGACTGATGACTACTACAAACATGCAGACAAAAATGAAAGGACTGGCTCATAGGCCGGATGAGAGGCCATGGAACAGAAGTCAAAGATAATACTGTAATGTAAGTTAAAAGAACCCTGTAATATATGAAAACCGTTTGAAAACTATTGTGCCCCACCTACGGTACCTTTAAAATCTGGAGAACGGGGAGACAGATGAGAGCATTGATTGAAATGGAGAAATGGGGGGAAATGTCAGTGATGAGAAAGCGAAGCCTGAGGGATTAAGATGCACCATGTAACTGAGGAGTTTGTCTATGAAAGAGAGAGCAGAAGTAGGGTGGCAGTTAACACATGCAGCTTGACAATGACCAAGTGCATTTTTAAGAACAGGTGTGCTTGTAAACAGCAAAAAAAGGACGAGTGGGGAAAGGAAAAAGATAGAAGGCGATAAAGAGCAATGCCATTGCAAAAGCAAGGGAGGCTCAGCAATGTTTTTGGTTAGTATCGTGACATGTCAAAATAAATAAAAACTCAGGTGTCATGTTGATTACAGGTGATCTATAATCTTTGCAAAGAAATTTTAAGGTAATTTAAGCAGGGAGCTTAATGTCTGCATTCCCTGGGTCTTCCTGAGTGTTAACACGAGCATTGCCTGGGTGTAATTTTTAGATCTGTTTACGTACTCACAAAGATATAGGTGTCAATAAGGAAGGAAACTGTACAGGGCTGAATCTGTTTTTAAACGAGGTGGGTTATTTTGTGTGACCTGTGAACTGGCCCTTAATTATAACCAAGACAAGGATCTGCAATGCTTCAAACGGTCGTCATTTTTGGAACAGGTACACAGACCTCCAAACGTTAGTTGGGAAGGACAGAGTGAACTTAGACCTGGAACTTCGTAGGTGCTGGTTTAAAATTCGTTGATTTGTTTCTCTCAACATTCCTTTCCGTCCGGTGAAGATCATTGCCGGTTTTTATTGTGCCACTGAGCTTTCTTTGCCTCATTTCCTGGCTCGCTTCTCTAACTGGTGCTCAATACCTTATTCAGTGTGGATTCCTCTTTCCATCAAAACGTGATTGAAAATCCACAGGGGGTCAAGGATAGGAGTATGCATTGTCGACTCTTGGTTTCAAATCCACTCTTTCCTAAATCTCGTTGCGGAAGCGTCAGCCTTTTAGGAGATCACATTGTATTTCCGTTAGCACAGACCCACCACCCTGTGACTTCTCTGTGGTAAAACTGTGTTTATGAGGGTGAAGGTAAGTTTGAAAATGTTTTCCTAAACGCAAACAACATTATACGTTGTCCATTTCTTTATGTTCTCAGATGGAATGAAGGGAATAATCCTAGGGTAGCTACAGGTGCAAAAATAAATAAATAAATAAATAAAATAAAAAATAAAAAAAGGAAATGCAAGCGGAAAACCTCACCCTCTGGAGCTTCTTTTTCCTGGAGGGTTTTTCCCGATACCCCACGCTCGAGATCGCCCTCTTCGCCGTCAGCCTCGGGATGTACCTGATCACCCTCCTGGGAAACAGCACGCTGATTCTCATCACCGTCCTGGATGCGCGCCTCCAGACCCCCATGTACTTCTTCCTCGGCAACCTCTCCTTCATGGACATCTGCTACACGTCCGCTTCCATCCCCGCTCTGCTGGTGAACCTGCTGTCGCCCCAGAAAACCATCACCTTCTCGGGGTGCGCCGTGCAGATGTATCTGGCCCTGGCCCTGGGCTCCGCCGAGTGCGTGCTCCTGGCCGCGATGGCCTTCGACCGCTGCGTGGCCATCCGCAACCCGCTGCGCTACCCCGTGCTCATGGGCAGGCGGGCCTGCGTGCCGCTGGCCGCGGGCTCCTGGGCCGCCGGCTGCCTGACCGCCCTGCTGGAGACCAGCTTGGCGCTGCAGACGCCCCTGTGCGGGCGTCTCATCGACCACTTCACCTGCGAGATCCTGGCGGTGCTGAAGCTGGCCTGCGCCCGCTCCCTGCTCGTGGACACCACCATGCTGGCGGTCAGCGTGCTGCTGCTGCCCGTCCCCATGCTCTTCATCTGCATCTCGTACGCCTTCATCCTGTCCACCATTCTGAGCATCCGCTCGGCGGCGGGGAGGAGCAAGGCCTTTTCCACCTGCGGGGCCCACCTGGCCGTGGTGGTCCTGTACTACGGGGCCGCCCTCTCCATGTACCTGAAGCCTTCTTCCTCCTCCGGCCCCCAGCAGACGGACAAGATCATCTCGCTGCTGTACGGCGTGCTCACCCCGATGCTGAACCCCATCATTTACAGCTTAAGAAACAAGGAAGTCAAAGAGGCGGTGAGAAAGCTGCTGGACAAAATAATATCAGGGCATCAGACGCAGGACAGTGTCTGACGTGGGCTCCTTCCGTTTTCGCCAGGAGCTCAGCCCCGGCAGGGCTCACAGGGACATTGCAGACCCCACTCTCACCCTCAGAACCCTGACTGGATGGCCCGCCCGCCCCGTCCTCTGACGGCTGCGAGACAGACACGTGTGCCCGGAGTCCTGGCCTGTGGGCAGCCGTAGATCCCAGGTTGCATCTAGCACTGTTCTCTGTATGGGTGGCTCATGGCTGTGAGAAGCTTTGGGCTGCAGTCATCACACACGTTCGTTGCAGAAAGGAAACTGGAACGAACTTAGAATCAGTGAATGTTAGAGCCAGAGAAACTTGGACAAGGAAACAAAGAAATAGCGGGCGATGCAAGGAGGTAAACAGAATCAGAGGAAAGTTAAGAGACTGGCTCTGTCACACAGGTGCCCTGGGAGAGCAGCCCTCCCTCCTCCTTCTGTCTTCTTCCCTGGGGTTTGTCTGCCACACAGTGGTGGCTCCCTCATTCGCCTTCCTTCTCCCAAACTCCCGGTTACAACTCCCTGACTTCCCTAGTGAGGCACCCACCGCCTGCTGGATGGACCCAGCGCCAGCCTTGCTTTTCTAAGCACCTAGACACTGTGCCGGTGTGCCAGCCATGCGTCACTTGAGACTTTGTGTGTTTTTCTTCTTTGTATGACGGGCTTCACAAGGGCAAAGACTCCTGTAATTTTGTATGTTGGAGGGTTTCTAAATAGTGATTCAGGGACCTAATAAATCTGTCAGCTTTACACGAGTCATTTTATTTGAGAAGTTCCACTTGTGAAAATGATGAAGAAGGAACAATATGAGCGATGAGGTGTATTGCTTTATAAATATCTAACAGTTGCAGAGACAATTCATACCGGTTGTTTTAAACCTTTCACTCATAGACAAATCCTGCTTGTTTAAGGCACAGAGGGGGGGCCTTCGTTCCCAGACCCAGTAGCGCTGGGTGGGGGCCTGAGGATGCATTTAGAATAGATCCCCAAGGAATTCTGAGAAAGGCTGTAGGATGACCATACTTTGGGAGACATTGTTTTCAGTGAAAACCAAATCCCACAAGAAAAGTAGGATTAGGCCGAAACCGGTTTGGCTCACTGGATAGAGCCTCGGCCTGCGGACTAAAGGTCCCGGGTTCGATTCCAGTGAAGGGCATGTACCTTGGTTTCGGGCACATCCCCAGTAGGGGATGTGCAAGAGGCAGCTGATTGATGATTCTCTCTCATCGATGTTTCTAACTCTCTATCCCTTTCTCTTCCTCTCTGTAAAAAATCAATTAAAAAAAAATATATATATATGTAGGATTAGTTCTTATTTCTCCCTTTTTCCTTTTATTTTTTCTTCCTTTCTTCCTGCCTCTGTTGGCACCTCTTCACTCGCCTATCTCCACTTCTAGAGCCGGGAAGAGAGGATTCTGAATAGTGAAGGTTAACCCATTTGACAAATTTCAAAATATGAAGGACCTGCCTGGCCAGTGTGGCTCAGTGGTGGAGTGTCAACCTACCCACCGGGAGGTCATGGTTGGATTCCTAGTCAGGGCACATGCCTGGGTTGCGGGCTCGATCCCCAGGGTGGGGCATGCAGGAGGCAGCCGGTCAGTGATTCTCTCCTCATCACTGACGTTCCTTTATCTCCCTCTTCCTTTATCTTTGAAATAAATAAAAACACATTTAAAAACAACCACAAAATAAAAAACAAAATATGAAAGCCCTATGAAGGTTTAGTAGTGAATGTTGAATTCTAGATGCTTTAAACTGTTTGTTCTCTCCGATATGTGCTCCTGGGTGAGTACCCTATATTTAGAGAAATTAGCAGTGACCACACACTGGAATTCTGGTGATGGAGCAAGGGGACAATCTGATGCCAGGTGTAGCTGCCAAGAGGTGTTTGACAGTGGGGGGTGGTGACAAGCCCTGAGTTTGGGGGGAGCAGCGGAGAGCTGAGCAGGAAGCTTTCTTAGCAGCTAGAAGTCATTATTTTTCTGCTTAGATACCCCAACCTTCCCAACCCAAATGTCGCATTCATTTCCTGGCGAGCTCAGAGTCATTCTGAAGTGACACTTTACAGTAGCGCTAGATGCTGTGTGAGAGTGGAGCTAATTACCTGCCTCCCGACTCAGCTCTGATATGTGTGATACCAAACGTAAACAGGAATAACCAGTTGTGGAAATAACTGAGATCTTTTCTTCAAAGAGTGAACTAGGAGGCCTCGCAGGGTCTGAGCACACTCTGTAATTAGCATATCAGCTCTGACACAAGGAACTGAGCAAATGGTTTCAGCATGAGACATGGACCAGACAGGGGCACTGAAAAAAGATTAGAAATGACCCAGATGTCAGGAAAAGGCCCACGATGGGACCTGGGCAGAAATCTCCCTAGCAGCAGACTAAGAGTTACAGAGTTACGGTGATATCTATAATAATGAAAGTGTAATATGCTAATTAGACTGAACTGCTAAATGATCTTCTGGACGTCCTTCTGGACGGAGCCGGGGCTGTGAGGGCTGAGCCCCTTGCACGAATTTCGTACATCAGGTCGCCAGTGTTTTATAAAGTTGCTGTGAAAAACAATGAGCAAATGTAAATATAAGTGTGTTTTAGATAGAACAGGCAATACTAACGTTAGTTATTTGTGAATGGGATATTCTTCCATGTGGATTAGCTTCTATCTCAGCCAGCACTAATTACAATCATTACGTTGATGAGTCTCAGGCAAAGGACCCTTTTCTGGTATTGTTAAAAAGAGAAATATATTCGCCCAACCAGCATGGCTCAGTGGTTGAGCATCGACCTATGAAGTAGGAGGTCATGGTTCGAATCCCAGTTTAGGGTACATGCCTGGGTTGCAGGTTCAATCCCCAGTGTTGTGTGTGCAGGAGGAGAAAATCCATGATTTTCTCTTATCATGGATGTTCCTATCTCTTTCTTCCTCTCCCTTCCTTTCTGAAATCAATTAAAAAATATGTATATTTTAAAAAGAGGAATATATTTGAGAGAGAGGGTAAAACCACCTCTGACACAGCCCATTCCTGAATGGATGATTACATGACCCGATTGGTGCTTTAGGAAAATCTGATCATGTAAAAAAAATCCCTTAGTGGCTTTTTATTACCCTAAAGTCCAAGTCTTTAAGATAACACGAAAGGACTTTTATAATCTTATTGCTCACCATTTATATTTTTTTTTACTCTAGGAACACAAGGTCTCTTTTAGTTCCATGAAGATGTTGTGCTCTGTCTTGCTGGTTCTTTTATTACTCAGAGCATGTATCACAATTTGTAATCACAGTCGCTTGTGGGTATACTTCTTTAATGCTGCTCACTAGCCTGTGGGCTCATTGAGGCCAGGACTGGATCAGTTTCCTTTATCACTGTCTCCCCACGGCTTAGCTCGAGGTCTGGCACAGAGAAGACCTTCGGTGCGTACTGCTGTGAAGGATCAAGTGTTTATCGATCATCTGCTAATAAAATACTCGTAATAAACGTTTGATGCCTATTCAATTAGTACTTTTTCTCTCTGAAATAAATAAAAATATTTTTAAAAAAAGGAAGAAAAGTTCTTTTCCTAATAAATGTCCGTTGGATTTCCCCACACTTGTTTCTAATTTCTGTTGCTCACCACGGGACTGAGCCCCCGGTGTCTTATTTAGCCTGTGTGCACTCCAGGGCAGCAGCGCCCCGGGGATTCTAGACTGTAATGAAGCCCAGGGGAGCCAGCTCCCTCCAGGACAGCGAGAACTGGCCTGCGCCTTGAACTTGTGTAGTGCGGATGGTGTCATAATGAAGAGTGAAGGTGCTGCCGAGTCAGAAGAGCATGACCGTCTTGGTTGGGGCGGTTTTGTCAACAAAGGCGTGGTCCCGCGCTCTTGGGAGAGCCCTAACGTAGCCGCTCCTCCCAAAGGCCGTGGTGGGTCTTCTCAGAGGGATGGTGAAGCTTCCGGAATGAGCAGGACTAGGTTGCTGGGCATGTAATTTACTGTTCCCTGAGCAAGGAAGTACCTTCCCGTGTGACTCTTGCCTCATCGTCTATTTTTCCTGTCTCAGATGAACCAGTCCACATCCCTATATCTTTACCCTCTTCAACTATCTTCAGGGCAGAAAGTCTCCGTAGCATCATGCTAATAGCAGCGTAGTGCCCCGAACAAATCGAGGGCTGGTCCCATTTTACTCCTCTTGGGTCAGAGCTGTGTCTGCAATGTCTGATTTCAGAAGGAGTGTCCCACTTACCTTAGCAATTATTCTGAGCCTTCCTGGTCCATAGGAGGCTACTTCCATGATCAGATTGCCTCCCAGCTAGCTGTGCTTCAAGAAGCTCATTAAAATTCTTTTAACTTCTGTTTAGCACTTGTTGTTTTTCAGCAATAGGCAAAAATTAGCACTGGATGGAATCTACATCTGGAGAAAGCATTCCCGTTTAAGTGAGACATTGATAAACAGGGGCTGTGTCAGATTTTATGCAAGTATTTCCCAATTACATTGTTCTTGAAAAAATTATTTTACCTTCTGTTTTATTTTTTTTAAATTGCACAATGGATAAGTATATACTTTTGTTAATCCTCACCAGAGGATATTTTTTCCTTTTGATTTTTAGAGAGAGTAGAAGGGAGGGAGAGAAGAGAAGAGAAGAGAGAGAGAAACATCTATTTATATATTTGTTTATTTCTGAAAGAGAAATGAGATAGTCTCCTATGATTGCATATTTAATAGTTTCTCTAATTCTATTACATTTTGATTTATATGTTTCAAAGCTGCTAAGTTACGTTTATAAAAATTGATAACTATTGTGTCTTCAGTATTGATACCAAGTATATTCTTACAAGTAAGAATTAATTCTATTATGACAGGTCGATCTAATTACCTGTCCCTCCCATTTTGTAAATGGAATGTTGAATGTGACAGTAAAATGTGACTGACCTCATCAAAATATATTTCCAAAGCATTATAGGAGGGCATCTTTACTTTGAACCCAAAAGGAGTATACACATAATCTGCTAGCTAGTCAATTTCA